CAGGGGTCTGGGCATTGGGCCTTGATCTTCCAATCCCCTCTGGGTATCCTTGCCTACCCAAATGGAGTACTGCTTTGGGACCAACAGGCACACTGAGACACTCTATGGCACAGCACATTCCCAGTAGGGCTTTGGGACAGTACCAGAGCCATCTCCAGTAGCTCCCTGATGCTCTTTCTTTGGAGAAGATGCAAAGCCATTACTTCCAATAGACAAATGGGTATCTATCCTGGAAGAACAGAAGTCTGTGCAGTTCAGGAGTGGTCAATAGTTTTCCTCTCATGTCAGCCCATCTGGGACGGAGGCTTCCACACCTCTGATTGTTTCCAGCTGAGAGCCAAGGCAGTCCACAATAATCCTCTAAATGGCTTGTCGGCCTGAATGAAAGAAGGCCAGCTTCTAAAATTTAGTATGAATCTCTTTGTTTCTAAGGAGACTATCACATCCAATTCCTCGGTTAGTTGTCAAACAATGCATTATAGATTTTTGCCCCTCCTGCCTAACCAGAGCAGCATTCTCCATGCTAATTAAATGATAGAATTTGTCGGCTGACTTTGTTTAGCTATAGCATAATTTAGAGTTTACAAGGAAGGACCTTCCACAGGGACAGTGCAAAAGGAAAAAGAAACAATGTATATGCCGTTTCTTGATGATTCTTTACAGAGCTTAAACTATGTACTGGTTTCAGGACACATGAAACAGGGCTAGGAACTGGGCACCCGAAGGTAAGTGAGGATGGCCTCAGTACTCTGGTGATTTGGGGTACATGGTCCGTTCTTTGGGAGTCTCCAATCCCTCTATTTTCCTTTAGAAACACATTTTTTTTTTATGAGGAAAGGCTAAGGACTTATTCTCCCTTATGTGACACTAGACTGAGCAAATGAATCTGCAAAGACTACACATTGTTAAAAAAAAAAAAAGAAAAAAGGAGTCACAATAGATTAGGTATGAATTTAAGCAAAACACCTATTTCTGTCCATCCGCACTTAACATTTCAACATGGGCTTTAGAGATGGGAAATACATCTTTCGTGTGCCTTGTAGTTCACATAAAAGCATGTACACACATACACAGTGTATCTTTCAACATAACTACACATACACACTCCATGAGAAAGATACTGACAGATTTGTAAAACATGTTGGCCTTGCACCGCTAATCTCAGAATACATTTTTACTTAATTTATGTTTGCACTGCAGGGTAGCGCTGGCCACCATCAAGGATCTGTCAGCATTTCCATCATAACTCTGCTTTCAGAATACTGGAGTACAAGTGCCAAAATACATATTTACAGTTTACAGACAGCAGTGGCTTTGTCTTCCTTCGAAATCGACGGCATCTTTACAAGGAATATTCAGGATGGCAGTGCCTACATAATAAAGAGCATCATAGGAAACAGAAGAGGGGGAAGGATGGAGACTTCCAGCCCAAGACTAACCTACACCGTGGGAATGGATTCCGCCACATTCTCTGCAGCTGTTGTCATCTCTCCATCATAGTCATAGCTTGAGAGCAACAGTCCAAAGCAAGATTATTCTGATAATATATGCATATATATAAATATAGGAATACATAGCATCAGTACACAAAAACGCTAACGGCGGAAAGTAATAAGCATACAGCAAATTACCCTAGAGCTGACCACTTCCACAGCGAGAAAAATGAACACAAGCCACCAAGCACAGACACTGACCATTTCAACACTGAACAACCAACTCATTATATAGGTAGAGCTAAAGCATTTAAGAGTAAAATCACTCTTAAGTGTGTAACTACATTTGTAGGGCTTGAAATGGTGAATGGGATGTTACGTAGACCTAATAATTGTTGTTTTTAAGTTTAGGTTGGTATACCTGCAAAAGGTACAATTGATTTGGATGAAAGAAAAATAAAACCCCCAAATTTATTGGCTATTTCCACAAATCAGGTAATCATTCAGTTTAGAGGTTTGCTTAACAAGTTTTTAACTTTTTTTTTTTATCTAAAGCTCATCTCCTTCGATGCTTTCCCTAATTTTGACACAGATATATCTATGTCACCTAAGAGAGGGGGTAGACTGCGTGATGATATGAAGTAACTGCATAGATTGTTTTGCTAACATGACTGGTGTATCCTAAGATAGAAGCCCCCTCATACACACACAAACATACTTGTTGCAAATCTAAAATCAAAAGCTAATTTATAAGTGTGTGTGTGTGTGTGTGTGTGTGTGTGAGAGAGAGAGAGAGAGAGAGAGAGAGAGAGAGAGAGAGAGATCTGTACATAGTTTTTTTCCTCCTCAAATCACAGGAGAAAAAATTTAATGATAGTTTATCATACCCTTGCTGGTTCAAACCATATTCACATTCACCCAATTAATTTTATTTCAAAAACATATATATATATATATATATATATATATCCATATATATATATATGAAATAAAACCCTGCCATTTCCCCTTGTGCTTAAAAGACCAAAGCCACTGTCAGGGTACATGTGTCAAAATATGAACAGGGTTCAAAAGTGAGTGTCCATTGATGTGGCAGGAGGGAGCGGATTGCTTCAGAGACGCATGGGATGAGCCGAGGGATTCACGATTTCTGTGTTTTCAAACCACACGCTACGAGCAGGACAATCATTTGAAAGAAGGCTAACTCTAGAGCATGACTCTTAATCTGCCAGAGTCTTATAGAAAACAATTTTGCTGTCTGAGTAATATGCTGGGAAGTTGTTCTGAATTTTGCTATCCATGTACAAACTTACATTTCATGATTTTCTGGAGACATCTTCATGAGTTACTCTTGTAGCTCTAATGTCATCATTACAATAGCTGCCTTTCTTCGTACCCGCACCCCCTTTAAATTTGATTTCTTTGGGCGTCAGGTGGCGGGGTAATCTTTTATCTTAGTTTCTCTGTAACTTTAGGAACAAAAGAAGCCAAATCTTATTTCACCACATAATTTGGTTACAAAAAATAAAAATGGCCCAAACTGCCTACGTACGTTTCTAGTTAAATTATATAAATACATTAGTTAAACCAATTCTAGTTTAAGAATATGTGGATTTGCAGTTAGAAACTTAAAAAGATTTTTGAATGTTGGAAACATTGTTTCTCTTTTCACCTGTGAAGTTAGAAATAAAACACAACTAAAACCACACAGTCCAACCACCTACTGTCCACAATGACAGGGAATATATCTATGCAACTGTACACCAAGAAGTGGACTACACACCAAATGCTTCAAGTACGGCTCATGCCAATCATCATGAGGAGTCAGAACATTCTTGAAACTGTATGCACTTGCCCTCTAGGACATCACAGGAAAGCAATTTACAAAGACCATGGCTGTATTATCATTTTTGTTTTTTAAAAAAAAAAGAAAAAATAGTTTCTTTGGATAGAAAGAAACAGTGTAAAAAAATCTCCTTTTTAAAATGCAGAAATCGCTCCATTATTAATCTGCATTTACATTACCGCCTGAAAGAACGGGTCTGGGAAGACCATTTTCTGCACAGACACTAGTTAATCTCTCAATGAAAGGACAGCATCTGTCGTGGGAACAAATGTGGGGGAGACCAGGCTGTTAGCACACGGAGAGACTCTCGTAAGGCCGATCCAGTGGCGAACCTTTGGATCCAGAAGTATTTCTTCATTTTTCTTCTCAGTTGAGTTCTGGCAGCAGCTTGGAAGGGTGGCTGCTCTAACTCTGAATTCTTCCTCGACAGAGTGTAGAATAATGACACCAGAAGTACTTTGGTTGCTTCTTTTTCTTTTTCTTTTGAAAATAATTTGCCTTCTTTTGCATGCCACAGGACAGATATCTAATTTCAAAACAAAGAAACAACAAGGACAAGACTTTCCCCCATCCCAACCCTTTTTACCTTTACCTATACAGGAAATCCTTCAAGAAACATCAGAAAGAGACCCAACAGATACCAAATCTACAAGTCAATACATAGTTTGTCATGGCAGAATAACCAAGAATTTCCCCCAAAGAAAGGTTTTAATTTACAAATATAAGAGAGTCTAAGAGAACCATATGCAAACAACCCCCCCCCAAAAAAACCCAAAATTAAAAAGCAATGAAAGAAAACAAAATCCCCCAAAACTGATTCCTGTTTTTGTTTTGTTTCTAAGAAGAAATGAGTACCACACTGGCAGCTGAAGACAGGTGAAAGACTCCCTAGCAAATAGATCCAAATTAAGAGTGTCTACACTGCTGTTTTAGAAAACAGGACCAGAATTCCTTTTAAAACGATGCCTCTGTGGAATGCCTATACTTCCACCTTCGCCTAGTATTGCAACAGTAAAATAGACACAGGAGTGTTGGCGACAGCTCGACAATGCTGGACCGTGGACAGTACAGGTACACTTTTGTACAAAGTCCTACAGGTTTATTGACTAAGGCTAGACAGCAATTCCAATGATCCTATTTGGTACATCTACCACGTCCAAGATCATTACATGGATACAGCCAAGGACTGGGCCTCAACTTTTAGGAAAAAGACCACAAGGAAGAAAATCGAGGTGGCTATTTGGTCCCCCCAGTTGATACGTGTGTCCTGGAACTGGAAAGACAAAGGTGGCAAACATAGACGGCAACAAGTTAAAGGACTTGGAAAAAAGTTGGTGGAAAGTGGCGCGGTATACGAGTAAGGTCACTGGGCTTGGGACGGCAAGGGCGCTGCATTGAAAGAGAATCCACGGGACCAAGTGCTTGTAATGTTTGGTGGTGTCATCCCCTCACAACTTTATCTGTATGTGGTAATAAATAGATCAGTTATGTAATAAGGCAGTGTGTTGAATATGCATTCATCCTGTGGAATGAACCACCACAGAAAGATCCATGGTACCATACACATTCTTTAGGTTTTCTTGTGTTGCGTCTGCGTGTTTTCAAGGCTAGCCAGGCTAACTCGTCCTGGGATTTCCTCGGAGAGGCGCATCCTCTGAGGCTGGTTTGCGTAACCTCTCCTTTATCAAGAGATGATGACTGGCTTTAAAGAAAAATAAAGCTGAAGGTTGTTTGATTTTTATTTTTTTTCCCTTTTGGTTGTATCATTCTGAGTGTTTTCATATAAACAACAACAACAAAAAAATCACAACCAAAAAAAATAAGTTTTTTGATGCATCCAGTTGTTGTATCCTCAGGACGTTCCAGATGTTTCCAGGTAACTCTGTAATTTACGGACTGTAGTTTTGTCCAGCGAGCAAAGATCAAAATCAAATGTTGTATTTGTAATATGAAAGTGTCCAGTTTCTTCTATAAGGTTCACGATCTGAAGAAATAAAGAAGAAAAAGTGGGTGTAAGCAACAGACATCAAAGGCAAAGAGAAGGAGATGGGAGATTCAAACATGGAACCAAGTGGAACAAAGGGATAAACATTCTTATTTATCACAAGGTCCTATTGCAACACTACTGTAATGGTCTGTCCTGTCCCTTTAAGAGACAATCCCCACCCACTCTTCTCCAGATCTTCCTTCCACTTCCTGCCCATGAGTTCTTCCTTCCCATCTCTTCTGAAGAGGTAGCTTCTCCTCTCCTCTCTCCATCTCTATTTCTCTCTCTGCCTCTCTCTACTCTTCCCCCTTCTCTCCTTTTTCTCTTTCCCTTTCCTCTCCATAACCCACTAAATAAATATCCAACGTCACTCTGCATGGCATGCCTATCCATCTCTGCCTCTCATGCACCATGACTCCTTGTGGGACTTGCTGACCAGATGAGATCTGTCATGGGCTGCTCAGCTCCCTGCCTGGGACCTGCTGCCCAGTCATGGCCTGCAGCCCACTGCCAGCCCTCGGGGAATGTCCCTGTTTTATTTTTACCATTACAACTACTACCAAACTGTTTGTTAGTCAATTCAGTAAGTCAAAGATAATGGAAGACTTTACAATAAAATCCTCAAAGGGACAGATGACTGTTTTTACTTCTCATACTAAATAAACCAATTCAAGTCACTAACTGAACATTCTACTAAAATGGGTAGGGAGAGATGACAGTTCAAGACCTTTTTAAAACAATTAGTCCCTAAAAGACTATGACTACATTTAGTAGATGTAAGAAGACCCCCAGTTAGAAATAAAATTCTTCCTAAAAAAGAATACATTTCTGGGAGGTGGTGGCATACACCTTTAATCCCAGCACTTGAGAGGCAGAGGCAGGCGGATCTCTGTGAGTTTGAGGACAGCATGGTTTATAAGAGCTAGTTCGAGGATGGGCTCCAAAGCTACAGAGAAACCCTGTCTCAAAAAAAAAAAAAAAGTTCCAGAAGCTGGAGAGATGGCTCAGTGGTTATGAGCATTGGCTCCCTGCACCCACAAGAGTGGTTCACAAACACCTGTAACTTCAGTTCAGGGGTTCCAACACTCTTCTGATCTCTGCGGACACCAGACATGCACATGGTTGCACATACATAAATGTAGGCAAAACACTAGTAGACAAAAAGTTAAATGTTAAAAAAGTCAATGTTTTGAACATAGAATTATGAAGTATTTAGAAAATTTAGGAATACACAAAGCAGAAACAGATACCACCCATGTTATCCTAACCCATTATGGATGACAGGAGGGGCTCCAGAGAGCCTTTGGGAGGACCAAGGGAGGAGCTCCAGAGAGCCTTTGGAATGCCTGAACTGTTCTGTTGCTGAGTTTGAGAGAAGCTTTGCATGCTGCATTTACTCTGTGAAAATTCGCTGCACTGTATATGTTACATAAGAACACACATGTATTGCTTCCTGTTGTGTTCAACAAATGCTCCTGAACAACTGTGAATAAGAAATTTACCTAGAAGAAGAATCAATGCCTTTGCCCTACAAGTAAAGTAATCACACTTCATCTCTTACTATATTGGCTACACCCACAATGGTAACATGTTTACCAGCTGCGGGGTCAAAGGGACTGCAGAGAACACTTCCAAAGGTCAGCACTGATAATCATGGGAGGACTTTGAGGGATTCCTTTACCATGTAAATATTCTTTCATTAGCAATAACGTTATTATAAATAAACACTGCTGCTGGGTGGTGGGGTCAAACGCCTTTAATCCCAGTAGTATTTGGGAGGTAGAAGAAGGCGGATCACTGAGTTCGAGGCCAGCTTGGTTTACAAAGCAAGTTCCAGGACAGCCAGGCTAAAAGAAAAACCCTGTCTCGAAAGACTGGAGCAACAACAAAAAGTATGCTGTTCATGGGTAGCTTGCTTGTTAAGTTAACACGCTATATAGAAAAGGGACGCACACTCATTGGGGAGCATGTTTGTTAAATTAACACGCTACATAGAAAATGGATGTGCACTCATTGGGTAAATGCTTGTTAAGTTAACATGCTATATAGAAAAGGGATGTGGACTCATTTTGGCAAGCTTCATGAGAGAGGGCAGATGGGGCAAAAGAACAGATTTTCTCGCAGGGGATTCACTTGGCAACTTCCATTCTTATTTGATTCTCTTTAGTTCAATTATCTTTAAAAATGATTGTAATGAGTTAGTCTATGACTTATTCAGTGAAGCTTTACATTATGCAACACTAAGGTGGAAAACTGCAAAACTAAAGATTAAAACCCTTGTTTTCTTAAAGCTCGTTTCCTGAAAGCATTTGTGAATGAATACCCATGGGTCTTAACATGTGCTTCTGGTTACACACATACAAACATGCACGCACACACCTCAATCCAATTAATTCAAACACGCATGCACACACCTCAATCCAATTAATTGTCCAATTCTAGATTGAGCTCCGATTGCGCTATCTGACCCCCAGAACTATTTTGTGAGCTAAAACTCTGGCTTTAATAACAAAAGTTACTCAGGTTGGGGAACCACGACAGACACTACAACCCGATGCTATAAAATGCATTTATCTCTCCCTAAAAGTTACCTTTTCACACGGTGGTACGCCCAGCTAAAAGTCTGTCTCCTTAGACCCATTTGTACACTGGGTAGATGCTACCACTCATAAACCACTAGGGTCTTATGAAAATTCCTGAGGTCATGGATGACAGGCATGTGCCTTTTATCTTTTGTCTTTCTTACTTGGAATGGAGATGCATGTTTGGGGGTCTAACAGTTCTCTTTCTCTCAAAAGATGGATACATGAAAGAGGCAGAATGGAGACAGGGCTGACCTTCTGGGTGTCATCTTTTAAAATCTAACATGGAGCCTGGATTACTCGCCTGCAGGCCTACTGCTGTGTGTTTAGGATGAAGCAGGGAAGGGCATCTTACTCCCTTATACTACTAGACTCAGGCTTCTGCTCCACGTATCAGACTATTAGAAGAGATCTTATTGCTAAAGTATATCACTTATATGGGACTAAACAAGAGCTTATTATCATATAGACACAGTGGCTAATGCTGTAATTTCAGCACTCAAGGAGGCTCAGGCATGAGTATGCTATGTTGAAGGCCAGTCTGGGCTAAGGAACTGAGGTTCTGTCCAAAGCAAAAAAACCAATACAGTTATTTCTTCATATATACAAACAAAAACCAACCAAACATACAAAGTCACCAATTGACACAAAGATCTTAAATGGACACACATTTGTTTTAGTAGCTACTTATTAGCACTCTGGAAAAGTTAGTACACATATGGCCCCACACAGAGATTCACAGCATCGTTATTCCTATACATACAAAACTCTCATGGAATCAGATACTTAACATACACAAGGATGAGCTGGTTGAACAGAAACATTCTTTCCTGAGTAAATTATTTTTTTCTTACATTATGATGGTAAACTATGAATTCAGTAAAAACTTGTAGATTTTGGTATAGGACAGTGGTTCTCAACCTGTGGATCATGACCCTTTTGCCAAACTTCCATCTCCAGAAATATTTACATTACAATTCATAACCATAGCAAAACTACAGTTATGAAGTAACAACAAAAATAATCTTATAGTTGAAGGTCACCACAATAGGAGACACTGTATTAAAGGGTCATGACATTCCAAAGGTTGAGAACCACTGTTATAGGAGGTTGGGTACTGTGGCACCCACCTGTCAGTATAACTCACAGGAGACGGAGGCAGGAGGATTCCAAGTTCAAGGCTTAGCAGGGTTGCATGGCAAGATTCCGTCTCAAAATAATAATAATCAGATCAAAAGAGGAACAAATAGCCTCTCAGAGCTACTGTAATTCATACATCAGAGGAAAACGTCAAGTCGTCCAGAGCTTCCTCTACCACATGCACAGTAGTGAATGGCACAACACTAAGAAGGGATCCCGGATCTGGTGCATGCAGAACTGACTGCTCACTAAGAAGGGATCCTGGATCTGGTGCACACAGAGCTGCCTACTCACTGAGAAGGGATCCCGGATCTGGTGCACACAGAGCTGCCTGCTCACAGAGAAGGGATCCTGATCTGGCACACGCAGAGGTTGCCTGCTCACTGAGAAGGGATCCTGGATCTGGCGCATGCAGAGCTGCCTGCTCACTGAGAAGGGATCCCGGATCTGGCGCACGCAGAGCTGACTGCTCACTGAGAAGGGATCCCGGATCTGGCGCATGCAGAACTGACTGCTCTCTACTTGACCATCACCACCACGTAAGCATCACTGTGCCCTCAAACGGAAGATGGGGGGAGGGGCTAAAGGACACATTCCGCCCCACATGCCAGGCTGGCAGAGGATCAAATAAGGCACAACTACCACCTGTGCAGGGATCAAGGCACTATGGCTAAGACTACCCTATAATCAGAAAGGTGTTTGTTCTTAATTACTTGTAGGGAGAGGTAAATAGCACCAGACCACCAGGCTTGGTCCATCTCCCTACAGCCCTCAACGCCATTTCCCTCCACAAAACAAATTAGGCAAGAAAGAGAAACACAGACGGCTTCTCTGACAACCCCTACCAACTCTTCTCCCCAGAAGTAACACACTAGACAGAAACCATTAAAGAGAACTCTTAAAAACTGTGATGAGGATGTTGGAGTGTAGCTCTCCACCATCAGAGGCTTCGGGTGCGGTGCCAACAGGGAAGGACTGTTTTCCTTAAGTCTGACCAGTGGGAGTTTGACCATGCTTCACTGAGTATATGCACAACACAAACTGGACTTGGCCCCCCCACTTGTGTGTGTGTGTGTGTGTGTGTGTGTGTGTGTGTGTGTGTGTGTGTGCGTTGACCTGGGAGGACAGAGAATTGAGTGTGATCAGGGGACATGATGTGAAATTCCTAAATAATCATTAAAAACATGTTGGGAAAAAAATGCAGGGAGGAAAACCCAGAAAAGCCTAAGCTAGTTTGTTTTTAATAACTAGAGCTTCAGGTGGGGAAACGGCCACAGCCAAGCTGTCAGAGTGACTGAAAGCCAAAGTGTAGAGCCGCAGCAGAACCCGGCACTTGATTCTATTTGTGTTACTATTGTTTTGAACAACAGGGAACGCACCCTTCCAGGAAAATAGCTTCCTATGATTCAGCGTAGTATGTTACTAAGCAATAAATTGAAAAGTGGATGACAAGAATTGTCTATAGAAGAAAGTCACTTAATTTTAAATCACAAAACATTCTGGCCACTAGGAAACCCACTCCGTATAGTAAGGGTTTCCAACGCTCACAAGCCAGCCTCCCATTTCTGCCGCCACCAGGTCTCCCTCTTGCAAGGGCACATATAGGAGCTGATGGTGCTAACCCTGCATTTTAACCCTGCTAAGACCCCTGCATTTATATGGGGTTGGTGAAAAATCATCAAGGCAGAAGCAAATAGAGACCTCAAGCAGTAGCCAAGGCAAATGCATCTGGGAGAGTTTGGTCCTATCCACCAACAGGAACAGCATTAATAGCTTGCAATCCTTTGCATTATTAGAGCATGTCCTAATGTCCTCAGTTAAGCAAAGGCTCTGTAAAGATACACACTCCTTTCGGGACTCCTGACGCCAGATCATCAGAAACACAACATTAGCATGTGTTATTACAACCAAATAGGCCACAAATCCTGAAAATACCCCACTAATCCCTGAAGGACTAACTCTTGCCCTGCCTGCTGATGCAATGTGGCTAAACCATCGCGCTGCTATGCTGCTCAGAAAGTGGTCCCAATGCCCATGCATGATAGTAACAGAAGCCAGAGAGGCTGCAGATAAGACAAGCCCAGGCAGACAGGGTACATGTTGGGATGGGGAAGGAAGAAGGTGTGAACTGCTTCACGGGGTGGGGAGGTTAGCATGCAGCCGCTAGGTGTTTTGTGTTAACAGGGTAAGATCTACTTGCTATTTCAGTGGTTCCTTCTTCAAATCCATTTTTTTAAAAATAAAAATGGTAGATACATTATTTTTAGTCTGATCTTTTTTTTTTTTTTCAAATACCAGAGTAGGTTACTCCCATCCAAAGTGGCCGCTCACTGAGTGAAAAGTCATGAACAATCTTTGCTTTGATTTTATCGAGAATGGGGTTGGTCTGTTGTAATGTCGGTCTTTCATGTGTATATAACAAACCATACCGACACATGAGAACACAAGTCCTACCCGAGCTCACAGGGGAGGACACCTGGCTCTAGTTTACTGGGGTTTTAGGACAGGTAATCTACCAGAGAGAAGTAGTCACATTTAGCGGAATACTTCTTGGGAGAGGTTCTCTGTGTTGCTAAGAATACTCCATTATGTTACTCATTTCTGCAACCTTCATGATAATTCTACAAAAAAAAAACAACAACAACAACAAAAAAAAACAACCCTAGAAGGTATCAAAGTTAATAAGCTGTCCATTAAGGAAAACTGTTTTTTTTCTTTCTTCTTATCCCCTCCTCCCTTTTCCTTTATTCAAATATACACGTGCATGTGTGCTCACGCATGCATGTGCATGTGCGTAGACACGTGTGTATTCACTGCTTTCTTCAATAATAAAATGCTGAATTGATGGTTGAATTGATGAGGAGTCCAGAAATGCTCAACCTCATTTTGAAAATAAATATGGAATATATAGTTTAACAAGAAAACTAATGATTAACAAAGGTTAATAATTTAATAATAATAATAACCCTCCTGCTTTGTACCTACTGTATTTTTACCCAAGAGAAAGGAGGCTGAGGTGCTGTGGGACAATGGTCTTGTACCCTGTAAAGATTTGTTACTTGTATTTGTTTAATAAAATGCAAATTGGCCAGTAGCCAGGCAGGAAGTACAGGCGGGACAACCAGAACAGGAGAATTCTGGGAAGGAAAGGGTCAGTCTGCAGTCATCACCAGATACAGAGGAAGCAAGATGAGAATGCCTTGCTGATAAAGGGATCAAGCCAAGTGGCTAACACAGACATGAATTATGGGTTAATGTAAGATTTAAGAGTTAGTTAATAAGAAAGCCTGAGCTAATAGGCCAACCAGTTTATAATTAATGTAGGCCTCTGTGTGTTTCTTTGGGACTGAATGGCTGTGGGACTGGGCGGGACAGAAACCTCTGTCAACACTTAGGAATATATACTCTTTCCAGATCTAATGCTGTCTGTTCATGAAATTAAATATTAGGAGCCAGGACAGCATCCCCCCAGAGTAAAATAATGCTACTAGCCAGCTTTTGTGAGACAAATAAAATTGTCAGAATAGGTTTTTTGAATAGGGACACATTAAAGGAAGAAACCAAAGATGCTATTCTGGCCTCAGCAGAAGTTTTGGTTCAGACGTTCAGTTCTACCCAGTGGAGGCTACACAGACTTTGTAGCATGCATTTCACCAGATGAGCGCCCCTCCAGGTGGAGAATAACACCAGCCCTCCACTGTGCTATGTTTTACAATATGAATTAATTAAGCAGTGAACTGTGACAGGACATACTTCACAGTATCAGAATCCCAAGCCTTGGCTGCATTACAAGGCAAATGGCCGAAGATAGAGCTTTCAACTGGCCTGGGAATGCAATCAGGGTGAAATGCTGTGTGCCCTGGAGGGCCTTTATGCCAGGTTAAAAATTTATAGATATTGCTCTTTCCCTCTAGAATGCTAAAGTAATCCACTTGCATGCAATTCTCAAGTAAGCCACCTTCACTCACAGTTCTTTCAAAGGTCAGGATAAAAAACATTAGACAGAGGATGCCAGCGATATTCCCAAGTGAGACCTTGTCCAACAGTTAACTTGCCCAAGACACCAACACCCATGAAACCTGCAACTGGGGCCCACTTTGGGCATCAGCAGCTTTTTCTGACAACTGCTCTTTAGTCACTTAGAGTTTGGGAGCCGATAGGAAGACCAGCTACCAGATTTACCATCAGCATTGAGTCGGTGAGCAGTTTTCTGTTCTATGAAAAAAAAGCTGAAGAAAGTACAGTTGGTCCTTTGTATCCCCAGGTTCCTTGTTCTCAGACACAACATGCTATGGACTGAAAATTCTTGGGGGAAAACGTGCCTTTAATGAACTTGTCATTAGTCCCCATACAGTACAGGATAGCACTGATGTGCACGGCGTCTGCACTGTGTTAAGTATAAGAGGTAACCAGACATGATGAGACAAATGGGATTGTACATAGGTGATATGCAAATATGCCCCACGTGAGTTGAGTGCTCTGGTGATGGATGAGGAAGACATGATGACTTCTAGTAAGGCGCTAACCATGCCTTAGTTAGACACTCAAATCCAGCGTCTCTACCTATGCTCACTGAAAGGTACACGCAAAGCCTAGAACTTAACTAAAATTGAGAACCACAGGTCTATAGACAACATCTGTTATTTCAAATTCTAGAAGGGCTAAAAGTTTATTTAGACCAAGAGAAGTTGGCAAATTTGAGAGTACTCACAGACTGAAGAACGGATCTACATAGAATATAAATGCAACCACCAACATTTAAAAAAATAGTTGACATATGACTACGGTAGAACAAGTAGTAATTTAAAGTCATTTTAAAGTAGTAAGAAGATTTAAGTGAAGTAATGCATAAATCTGTTATGGAATCTGGAACCCACAGTCTCCAAATTGTTAAAGAGAAATAACTTTATCAATAGCCACTGTTCATGGAATAAAGGCATGGACTGTACTTGTACAAAAACTAAAACCCACCCCTCTTATCTTCTCAAAACATCACATTGTGCTAAAAGAAGTTTCCTCATGCTCGGAGCATTCCAGAGTTGAGCTAACGATAATACACTGTATGTTGTACAAGATAAGGGAAATGAAAAAAAATATTTATTTTCCCGTAGAATAGAACTGGCAAAAGGTTACCAAATTGAATGACAAATGTTTATAACACTTGACTTGAATTCTTATCACTGTTTTCCCATGAAACCAGAAGCCTGGTCCCCAAAGTTTCTGCGTTCTCCTGACCCTCTCTTAGCCCACGTACGGTACGAGCTGGAAGGACGGAACGGAACACTGCGTCTGGTATGAGTTTCATGAGTGCTCCAAAGTGCACCCTGGGTAGCCTCAAATATTCAAGTCCTCCCCAAATATCTCCATAAGCACAATTCCGATTCTGTCGGTGTGAGGTTGCTGTGGCCTCCATGTGCTAACACATTACCCCAGGACAAACAAGGCCGTGAGGCTGGGGGGAAGGGTTGTACTAAAAAACATTTCTCACCTGCTGCAGAATGTGTCTTTCCCTCAGCGTCATTAACCTTCTGTGAAGTTCTACCAACTCATCTAGGTATGCCTGAAAGAGAAGGGTGTTCCCCAAAGAACAAAACTTTAAAAGGCAGTTGGTGAGTAAGAACACACATGCAGGGGTGGGTTGCCAGCTAAGATCATGTACTGCTCTTGAAGAGGACCCAAGTTCAGTTCCCAGCACCCATGTCAGGCAGTTCACAGTTGCCTGTAACTCCGGCTCCAGGTGATGCAACACCCTCTCCTGACCTCCACATGCACATGTACTTGCGTGTGAGTGCATATACGCACGTGCGCGCACAAGTAAAATAAATCTTAAAAATAAAAACATCCATGTAAAACTTAGGGTGATTCTACCATACTGCACGAAGTTATATGGATTCCATGCTCAAAGGCAGAAGCCTGTGACATTTCTTGCCCGGATTTTGACCTTTTCAAACCTGCCTTAAATGGAGGAGGATAATTCTTGAGTCTATTTGCTCTCAACAACATTCAAGTGAGTAGACTCAGTTTCCCAAAACAAGGCCTCTGCAAGGAATACTGGAAATCCAATGCCGTGTTGTCGGTTTGGACGAATGACAGCAGAGGCTGTTTTCCTTTTTAATTCTTCAATCTCAAACAATTTTAGACAATGACAAAACACTTCAGCCTGAACATGAAAATATCAACATATATTAGGAAAAAAAATCTTAATAAGGAAAGATAAAAAGGTTTCCGGGCATTTCCAAATGTTCATAAATGATGCAAGTAGGTGGCTAAAGAACAGAATATTCTAAAAATGCAACGAAGCAAACAGTTCAAACAACTCTTCTTCAAGAGCACTTGGGCTCTCCTGCATCTCTTCAGATTTAGCAGTCCTCGTTAATTGACTGTGTGGCTGCTTCAAGGCCAACTTCAGTGAAGGCAAACAGGGAGATTACTGACAGGCTAAGCCCCGCCCATAACTGGTAACTGGCATTTCTCGGAGTCTTCAAGCCAGAGTTTATACACATCATACACACACCGAGAAAGCTCCCTGCACAGATGGCAGGTATCTTCTTTACATATGCATGTGATTTAATCTGCCTCTGCTACCATCGTCAAATATCCCAATGTGATATGGCTGAAGTCTCTTGGTAAATGTAATGGTCCTGCTTAACCCTGAAGGGAAAAGCAAGACAGGGAGAAGGAACTCCAAAGCACAGGGATGAAGTATTCACTTGGGAGTCGGAGATGGGAGAAGAGCCTGCAAGAATGATGGAGGGGACCCCGAAGAAACAAAGACATGCCAGGCTGTCTGCAGCACTCCCAGGAGTGGACTGGAAACCTACCTTGTCACATTCACCGTTCTTTATTTGCTTATCTGATTTGCTTTGTTTGATTGGACTTTTCACTTCAAGAATCTAGAAATCAAAGACAACACTAGTAAATTTCACTTCAAGCACCTTCTAGCTAGCAGCTATCCACAGAAACAAAAGCACTCAAAATGCACAATAACATTGCTTCCCAAACAGCATTTCTCCTCGCATTTGCTTCTTTTCTAATCTTGCCCCCCCCCCCCCGGAAAATAAATTACTTGTATATGGAATGCTGAGTCAGAGAAGCAGAGCTTAGGAAAACAAAACGTTGATGATCAGGAAACCGATCTAAGCTTCCCAGGGCCCTTTTCTTTCCTGACAGCGCTCGCGCATGCATAGCAGCTGAGTTATTTTGAGATTGCTGTCCCTGCTGGCAGGACTTTTTTCCTGTTTATTCTGCTGCTTCAGCATGAGAATAAGTGCTTGGTGGGCGCGGAATGATAAAGCAAGCCTTGCCCTCTGGAGCACCTGCCTTTCAGATGCTAGCCGCTTACTCCGCTAAACGATGCAACGTTGGGCGTGAAGGTGGCCATCAGTCAGTCACCGTCTGGGGTCCTTTGATGACAGAAACTGATGTGCTCCAAGAAACGATGTGATTGTGTGTGATACAAAGCCAAGTGCCTTTGCTTTCATCTGGACCAACTGTAATTCCACACACTGTTCAGAAGCTTGGGCGAGGAGCTATGCTCGTAATTAGCAAAGAGAATACTACTATTTAATAAAATACCACTGATTTGTTATGCAGGCGCTTCAAAATTGAAGGTTCTGGGAGAAGTACCTGCAAACCACCCCAGTTTGAAAAGGCTGCGGGTGACCGCATTTATTGATAATGAGTGCTTACACATGTGCATACACATGCAAGCAAAGCGGTTTATATTTCTCTCATTATAACCTCAATCCTAGAATCAGAAACTAATATCAAAGAGGAAAATGCTGAGGGTGGTCTTTCAAAGTCCCATACTTCTATTCTTCACTATACTGTTTCCTGTCCTAATTCAGTTTAGAGTTTTGTTTCCCGTCTACTATATACTATAATGACTCGTGACAAAAGCATGGGGCTGGATGTCCTGCCTTATCATCCAACACATTAGGGCCTACAAAGATGAATGAAAGAGACACATGATAATGCTTTATTCCCATTCAGCTATAAAATTTTATACTACTAATAAATAAGTATTCTACTTGGCAATAATAAGACCATGGTATTCTGGCATGAATATGCCTAAATAAAATACTTCTCTTCGAGTTGAAAATGTGCATAAGCAAAATGCATTTCTAATGGTCTTTCACATTCATGCCTTCATTCTTAACATTAAAATAAGCAAATGACTGATTTGGCCAAGCTAACTTAAAATACTACCCTTCTGGCAACCAACGGGAATTGCCAAATAACACAGGCAAGGCAATCATGTTTACCATGCCCCAAATTCTCCACTACATTTGGAATTTCCTCCTCTTTATTGTTGCTAGAAATGAGACCTCAAGGGAAAAACCAGCCCAGAGACCTGGAGTAAGTAGGTCAGTAGATGGCACTCCTGGCCAACTCAGCACTGGGCTGGGCCACACAGAGACAATCTGCCATGGGAGGCAGGAAGGAGAAGGCCGCCCAGCCTTTTGCCTTGAGCTTCAGAGGGCTGAATTTGTTCCCATCACGTCTGCCCCTCCCACGGCCCCATCCCCCACTCCTCGCTCTCCAAGGGTCTGAGGATGCTATGTTTTCAAAAGAACTTCGCAAGCTAGGCTTAGACAGGCCTGAAGCCCCCCTTCAAAGCAGAGGATAGGCAGAACATCTGGGTGCTGAAGTCCAACCCCACACATTCCGAAAGGGCGACAGTACCCAAGGACAAAACACACTGAAACCCTAGTTTTCTTTCTTCTGAGGCCCTGGTAGCAGGAACAAAAGCCCCGGGTGTCAGTGACCCTCCTCAAGTTACTGAGTGGATGCCCAGAGAGGGCTCAGTTAATCTTCCTTCTTTGATCTCTCCCTGCTCCAAAATAAACAGCTTTGTCAAAACCTCGTTCTGAGAGAACTGTGCCATGCTGAAGACAACTGTTTTATTTACGATGGTTTCTTATCTTCAGGGACTGACTCCAGAATATAAAAGTACAGCACCTTGTCTTTCACAGGCTTATTTCAAACTAGTTTAGCTAGAGAGTCGCTTTTGAATTTCACTCATGCCTGGCAGGCAGGCAGGCGATTTATGATACTTTCAATATTAGCTGGATCCAGTGGATCACTTCCTCCCTTGAATCCTCCTATCTCCCTTCCCCGTACTACAATGGGCTATACAGATGTGGGTTGTTTATTTGCACTTTATACATGGTGTGCCTATGGTGGAAAAAAAGTCACCTTTGGCTAAATGATCATAAAACGCTTTATTATTTGCCAATACACTGAGGAGAGGGACAATCACCCAAACCACCGAATTAAACCACCAACCACCAACAGACATGTAATCTCTAAAGCTGAGCACACAAGATTAGTAGGACTTCATCCTTTTTTCTTTTCCTTTCTTTTTTTTTAAAAATTTGGTTTTTCGAGACAGGGTTTCTCTGTAGCCTTGGAGTTTGTTCTGGAACTAGCTCTTTTTAGACCAGGCTGGCCTTGAACTCACAGAGATCCACCTGCCTGTGCCTCCCAAATGCTGGGATTAAAGGTGTGTGTCCTAGCTCAGGACTTCATCCTTAATCTGAGGAAGTAGTTTAGGAATAAAATTTAAGATTATATTTTTCTGATCCTGTTGTAAGAAATATCAAGTCAATCATGCAGCAGATGGACTATATGGCAGATTTTCTGTTAGCCTCTATTAACTTCTAATGACACTTCTATTGACTTCTTCGCTTTGCTGACATGTGGCTCTATGTCCTTTCTTCAGTAGACAGAAAATTAACTACTCAATTAGCACTTTATCCCTGCCTTAGACTCTGGGAGATTTGAGATGGGGCAGCAGACACTTCTGCTGTATCTGATACCCAAAGCTGCAAGATCATTATCAAGTACGGAAAGAGCGCAGATTTTTGGTTTGGAACTGGAGTGTTCTTAAAGGGCTCTTGCGGTGAAGGCTTGGTTCCTGCTACAGAATCTTCATAGGTGGGGATTTGAGAACATAAGGGCTCTGTCTTAATCAGTGGCTGGATCTACTGGCAGGCTTGTAAGTTGGTAGAACTTTAGAAGAAGAATCTGGTGGAAGGCAGTGAGAACCTGGAGGTCAGATCTTACTTCCATGTCCTTTCTCTTCCTATCACACTGCTTCTTGTTTATGGGAGGTTTGCTCATCAAATGAATCCCACCATGATGCCCTGCCACATCATGCCCTCCGTTCAGAACAACGGAGCCAGGGGACCGTGGGCTAAAACCTTCGAAACACTGAGCCAAAATACACCTTTTTAGCTTAAAATTGTTTGTCTTGGGTGTTTTGTCACAGCAGCATAAAGCCAACTAATACACTAGTTGATGGGTATGGAGAGGAAAACTCGGGGATTTTAAAATCAGGCCTTTCCTGTTTTCACCACCCTTTTAATTTGATGGGAAATTTCAGATACCCATGTCCCAACCCATGCTGGTACGCATGAGCTCTCCAGTGCATCTCCTGTACACATTCACCTATAATACTAAAAACATTCCAGGATGAAATTTAAGGGACTTTTGGGGTTTTAAGAAATTTTCATTGTTTCACTGTATAACAGAAATACTAATGATACTGATTTAAAGGGATCCTATCACACATGACCCACAGCAGGTAAATGGGGTTAAGAAATCATTAGTGATTTACAAAAGCCCTTTCCTGTTCTAAGTTTCAAGACACGGGTATGAGGAGCTAAGTACTTCAGTTGTACATAACGTCCCACTCCAGACTAGCTAACATTGGAGGCATATGGACTTTGGTCTTAGGCACACAGGTGCACTGAGAAAGGCACACACCATTGAGTGTTAGTGATGAGATGATTACACACACGTGAGAAGCTAAAGGTATTAAATGAACATTCCAAGGAAACAGTGGTTTACTCTTCAATCAGATAAAGTATATCTTTACCTTCCCAGACAGATGACATTATTTGTTTTGGGTTTGGTTTGCTAGACAGGTACCAATTTTCACAAAGAATCTATACTTTCCCCAAGAACCAAAGTCAGTTCCATACTGTCCACTCAGGATAGGGGCTTGATGGGGGCCACGCTTACACGGCCAGCCATCTGACCGGTGCCTGGGAGAGATGCCGAAGACGGCTGGAGAGAACACAAAGGCAAACCCATTGAAATCCTACTCCAAGAATCCCAATTCTGATGCAGTGTCCCCTGGAAATAGAAAAGGGCCTACAGAGGGTTAGAGCAGGCATAGAAGAGGTCAAGGTCCTAATTCTGTTCGTCTGTCAGCTTTTTCTAAAAGCACATGTTTATAAAAATACTGTTTATGTTTTTTGTTCTGTTCTACGTATCCAGTCAGTTAGCTCTCCTCAGCTGCCTGGTCCTGATGCTTCCCCCTGGAACTCTTGGTCTGTGGCATAAGGCAGCTATGCTAGGAAGCAAGAAGGCAAACGGCATAGCTAGTTGCTAAGATGGGGTAAGCTAACACAGCAAAGCCAGGCTAGGAATGAGGAAGCTGGACTCCATTCTCAAGTAGGACAGAAACTACAGTTGAGCTGTAACAGTGCAGGGGCTGTTCCTACCCAACAATGAAGAATTCAGGGTGCAGACAAGCTTTACAGATGATGAATTTTAGAATTTAAGTGAGCATTGCTTCTTTATACAAAACACAAGAATATCCTCACGGCAGTAATACCGCATTTTCCAACTCAAAACAAATATCACTAATTCAGGGGCAAGATATTTTAAATAGCAGAACGCTTATGAAATGGCATAATTTTAGAAAACGCAACCCTTTAATTTTCGCGTTAATATTCATATGGCAACTTGAATTAAGCAATTACTGCAGAGGTCATAGGAAATCTGCCTACACAAAAGATAAAAATAACTTACTGGAATGAGCAACAACTCAATGTATAGTGGGACTTTTATAATATTCATGATGCTTGAAAACAGTTTATTTTAGTAAGTTATGAAAATATCCCAATCTCACTCATTTATTTAATATAAGCTCTTCATTGCAGCTTTCAAAACTGTTTAGACTTTATCTGAATAGCTATATTCTGAGTTGACTATCAATAAGCTTTCTTTAGCTCAACTTGTAGCATGATAATAATCACTGTTTTGTTAATTATTCTTTGCACCCCCAAGCAACAGTTCTCTCTTGAATGAGAAACTGAGGCCAAAGCAGTTACAATAAACATTTATATAAACTGAGTGCCAAGTAGATGCTGCGCACTGCCTTTATATACACTGTTGTCCTTCTGTTAAGCTGCAGGGCGCTAACATTATTTAATGAAGAAAGTGGGGCACTTAAAAGTGTATTCCCAACCCATCAAATAAGGCTAGTCCTATAAGTCATGTTCTTTCTAATTACGTTATTTATTTATGCTAAGGGATAAAATACAGAGAAGCTGAGAATATGTGCAACATTTTGTGCCCCCTTCTGCCCTGCATCTATTAATTCACCCACGCAATGGAGCACACTCATCTTATGAACAGAGAAGTGCTTTTACCCCGTGTGCTTAATACTAAGGTTGAGGATTCCCATTTGTTTGAAATGAAGAGGAACCTTGTTTAAAATTAAGAGGTAAAACAGTTACATGCAGCATTAAAAATGACCGTGTTTACAGTTCTACAGAATCCTGCTGAGCACAAAGTCCACAATTTTACCTGGTTGTTGTTAGTTTTCAATAATGGCGGCGGGGGTTCATGATGGAGAGGTGAAGAGGCGGAGCTGCTTTCGCTGTCACTGCCGTCACTCAAGCTGACCCTGAGAAGAAACACTGAACAGTCACACACCCTACCACAGACAGTTAAGTATGGAAAGCAAGGAAGGCCAACATCGCCACTGAAAGGCTGCCTGTAACACACAACTGCGGGCATATGTCGGTACTGCCTGTATCTGGACGCGTCAGGCGAATCCACCGCTGGTGTGCTTTCAATGAGCCCAGTCTTTGCGACTGAATAAACCAGGATGTAGAAATATGTGTCCTCCAGATCTAGTTACAGTTGCAAAATGGAGGCTCAAGGATTCAAAGCCCAGTAACGTGACACAAGGCTGGGGCTCAGTCTCCACCTGAGCTACTGTGGGAAGCCTAGCATTGGAGAGACGCTAGTCACATTTCTGCTGCGTCACGGTTCAGTGATGTCTCCACTACAAAACATGGCTATAATAATGTGCTAGAAACACACTCGGGACACAAACTGCTTCAAACATCACTGTTTTTTTTAAAAAATATCTCTACTTTAGAGAACAAAAACACAACTCTCTCTCTCTCTATTTATTTTTTCTACTTAGAATAAAACAGAACGTTTCCTAGCTAGAGAGGAGATGGTGCTTTCTTCTGCTCATTCGAATGTATGCCCTCATCCGGAGGGCGCTTCAGTATCCGCTTCCTCTCTGGTTATATAGTAACCTGACAGAATATTCTTCTGAGATAGCAAATGCTATAGGAATCAGGACAGTTTCTCTTTCACTCTGAATAGGCAATCACATCCTGCTCGCTCTATTATACATTCAGACAGACGCGATACAAGACAGGAAACGAAAAGGATACACTGGGACAGCCTTTTAGCAAAATCTGATGGAACTTGTTTTTCTTAACTAAATTACATTAATGAAGTGTTCTGCTGAAGCGCTGCCTTCAAATGCTTCTTGACTGAAGTGGAAGGCTGAGTATTTAAACTGATTAAACAGTTGAGACTGCACAAGTGCTCTGAAGATCAAATGTTAGATGGAGACATCACACTGACGGTATACGTCAGACAGGGAAACAAAGATGAGTCCCTGATAACGTACATCCACATCAGGGGCTCACAGACAAGGACTGTGTGTGCTCTAACCCACACTGACTCTGGATGGGATAGAAAGAGGGCAGGTAACAGTCAGCTAACCAGATCTCCTAAACAGCAACTTAGAAAATTACAAGAATAGGACATGAGTTCACGTGTGTGTGTGTGCGTGTGTGTGTGTGTTTACAATAGGCTAAATTGGAGAGCAGTCATTGGCTGGGGTTTTGGTTGGTCAAGTTAGTTCCAAAACACCTAGGTCCAGCTCAGTTTCCTTCTTGTCAGATCAAAGAAGGCATTACAGGGTCATGTCTTTAAGGGTCCTGTAAAAGGAATGCATGCAGATGCGTTGAGAAGGCAAGGTGCAGAAAGATGCTGCAAGCGCAGCGCTGTAAGGCAGGGTCACTGCAGGAGCTAACAGCTTCCATTCTGTGCAAGGGCAGCTCATCTCAAGTGACACAAGTGAACCACCAATTAGGAAACATACTTTCGGTTCCCTTTGGATCGCCTTTGTCTTAGGTATTCCAGGGCCATCCACACAGTAATAGATAATGGGAAAAGATTTATTGCAATATATTACAAATGTAATTGGATTTGAAGTTCAAGAAGATTCATATTTTCTACTCATAACACATTAAAGTGTGCATGCCTATTTGTTTTCCTCATGATAAACAAAATCCTCAAGGCAATTTCAAGCTGACTATTAATTATAAGTGACATGAATTACCATCTTCTAATGTGGAATTATGTCTCATAGCATTAACACTACTTAAGGAACCTAATTGTCAGCACACTTAAAAGGAATTTATTTGCTGGAAAACACACACAGGTGAACTTAGTTTTAATTAGGTCACAACATAATTCACCGGAGCCAATTATGTAGTTCTAACTGCAAGCAGCAAATGCTGTTTCTTCACACGTGACGCCCCCGACCCCAAGCGATAGGTCTATACCAACTCTTCGGATGAATATGCTATGTGTTACATAGCAAGAACTTCTGACACGGCTTCTTCCTATAAATGCTTTGGAGGAAACCTTTTTTAAGGAAAAAGCAAAAAAAAAAAAAAAAGCAAAAGTGGTTTCTTATAAAAATGAACACAAACATACCACTCTGTATTCAGAGGAAATATATCCATTTGCTGTACCTTTCTTCCTGTTTGAGAAGGAACCTCACGCTACTCTGACTGGCCCCAAACTTGAGGACTTCTCATTCTCCATTCTTTCTCTCCTAAATGCTGGGATTACAACGTTTTGAGGACCAAACCCAGTGCTTTGACAATTCTAGGCAAACATGCTGCTGACTTAGCTATAGCCCATCCTCCCTGTTGCCAGCGTTGAGGTGTTTCTCACCTCTGTGGTTATCTAGTGACCCAGTACGCCTCCACTCCAGGGAATCTCTTTCTTACCTGCGACTTCGGCTTCCTCCCCTATTTACAGGCCTTTCCATCTCAGAGTCATTGTCATTGTCCTCTGCCTCATCAGACTCCTCCTCGTTGTCATCAGAATGCAGATCTTTCATGATAGACCTCAAAGGACCTGAGGAAAGACATGGGCCACAGGCAGTCAAGCAAACACTTCTGACACACCTGACCATATTAGACACTGGGGACACGTGTAGTGCTGACCATCATCCTACACAGTTAAGACTTTGCAAGCAAATTCGGGACACTTTCCAGATTACAATCTCTACTTTAACACTATTGATTTCATCATAGAGTCCCTAAAATGTTTATTAAAGAACCTCTAATTCGGGTCTGGAGAGATGGTTCTAAAACCACTTGTTGCTTTGCCAGAGGACCTGAGGTTTGATTCCCAGCATCCACATGGTCGATTATTACTCTGTAACTTCCTGGGAATCTGATATCCTCTTCAGACCTCCTCGGGTACCAGGCATGCACAAGGTACAGAGATACATGGGTAAGTAAAACATCCATACACATAAAATACAAACAAAAAAATTTAAAGAATTTCCATTTCACAGGATTTTTTTCTGTGTAATTTTATTTCTTACCTTCCCACCCCAAATCACAACAAAAAGAAAAATAGATCTATTGGTAAACAGGATGTTTTGTTAAGTTAATCCATGTATTGAAAAGTTGAGATTAATAAATCACTGTGGTTGTAGTTGGTTCTTGGCAATGCAGCCTTTGTGTCGTAGTTTCTGATCTATTAAGGTTTAGCTGCTCCTTTATTTCAAGGTCAGTTTCAGGTCAAGCAAGCATTTCAGTCAAGTTCAGGTTAGAAAGTGTTTCGGCTCTACGGTGTAATGTCCTATCCCTGATCTTTCCATTGATCTTGGACAGCAGATCTTGCTGTAACAACTTTATGTGGCCAATTTTTATCTTATTTTTAAGAAATTCCTGGCAAAACATCAGCATGTATTAACATAAATAAGGCTGTAATAAATCATGTGCCCAGAAAATCCAGATAATATCCAGTATTAGATGGGGGTGGGGAGAGGTGTAACTAATTTTATTTAAGACAAAACTGAAAACACACGCATACGTGCACATGGGCACACACACACTCACCCACCCACCCCCCCCCACACACACAGCGTTGCTTTCCTTCCATTTTACTACTCAAAATGGGATTCAAAAACAGCTTCTTTTTTAGTTTAACAGAAGATTGTAAAGACATCCAAGAAAGGGGCATTTTCATTCTGGATTGGGCAAGCCCCAAAGTCTAACCTACAACAAGACTGTCTGAGCTGTCGCCAAGTATTCAGTTCGAAAACATGCACTGACTCCCTGCAATCTCACGTTCTGCAAACTTAAGATTTCTCTGTTTTTTGTAGTGGGCTTACTTCTTTGCAAGCCAATGAAACAAGATTTCTGAATAGCCAAAACTATCACTGCCTTTTATTATATATTTTCTTGGAAGCTTAGTCTTAGTCCAAATACACACAACAATTTAATCCTCTTTCAAAGCATGCAAGGCCACTTGGAGTTGAGCGTAGTCAATGAGAACGGTGATGGTCGCCATGATACTAGAAAACAAGCTACTCTCTGACACTCTTCTATTGTGTAAAAGCAAAACAGAGCCCACTTTTGGAGATTTGATACACACGTGAAAAACACACTTCACTGTATGTTCTGGCTTAACTTATCCAGAGTTTTGGTTAGCATGTGAGTATCTATGTGAGTATTATATGAATACAGAAATATACATATTTAAAAATAGCAGATATACTTTTGCTTTAAAAGTCCACTAAACTATAAAAAAAATAAGGTAAGTAAAATGAGAGGTGTTCAAGGATGAAGAATGGGAGCCTATGTCAGTGCCTCTGACGCTGCTTTACAGGAGTATTTCCTTTGGGAACTCCCTGGAATGGGCTGTGTCTATAATCCATTTGTGAAATGGGAATGTGATGGCAGAGACTGGAAGAGAGGGGGACTTGCGAGAGCCAGGCCTCATATATCAGAACGATACTCAAGTTCATTCCTGGGGGAAATAAACACAACTGCATAAAAGCCACGTTACCATTCAAATAATAAAACAGTAGAAGATAGGTCATAAATCAACTCATTAGGACGCGTGGTGGGAGCTGCAGATACCTTGTTGCCTGGTCTGGGATGGCGTGAAGCTGGAGCTGGAGCTGGAGCTGGAGCTGGCAGGACTGGGTTGCTCTGACTTCAGAGAAGAAGAGAAAAGCATCGTCAATACATCTGTGGGATACCACGCATTAAGATGAAAACGACCCGTGTTCAAAGTGGTGTCTACAGCAAGTCGGAGGCTATGCAAGGAGAACGACCACACATATCACTCTGTTAGAAAACGAACACAGGAGAGCTGTGATGTCATTTTTTTTGACAGCCTTGCTTTTATTAGAAGTAATACACATATAAAATGCCAAGGACGAAAAGATAGATGCCTGCATGCCACGCGACTTCACCCTTGCTCACTGCCCTGCACATCTCCTCCTAAGGGACACATACCTCCATTGTCCTTTCCATGAGGTTTGATTGACTCAAATGGTTCAGACATAGTAGTCACGAGGCCAAGGTCATTAGTTCAATCACATTATGGGCCAGTTAATTTTACCCTGGTCCAAGGCCACAAACCAACTAACCCCACTCACCCCAAGTTCACAAATGGAGGCCAATATTCACAACATCCGGTCAAGTCCCACAAACAAGTCAGGGGAAAATGCCACTATTTTAAGAAGAAAAATACTGTTTAATTTCACAGCCTGTGAACTGGCAGAAGAGCAGCCGCCCTCATACATGCCCCCTCTGATTCTCTGTGATCTCAGCTCATCTGTTAGTATCCGGAACAAGTCCCACATTCAACTCGTGGACACACCCAAACCACTTTCTTCCTTCACAAACCACTAATACCATTGCGAAGCAGGTCAAATGCATCTTCCTGGTACACTGTGGCACTCTGGGGCAGTCCCTACACTGTGTTCTCCCCCAGACAAGCTATAGAAGGCCAGCACTTCAACGGTCACGTGCTTCTTGCTGTTTCTTCCATACTTAGCAGAATGCATTGCATGTTGCACCCCATCTTTATCCGTCCCTTAAGGCAGCATTGCAGTCTGTCTGCTCCACTGTCTAACAGCTCACACAAGAGAGTTTACGCTGCTTGAAGGGGCGACACCAGATGCATGGGAAGAGATACGCAAGACACGGACCCCACCAACAACATACTCCTGTTTTGCATCTTAAGACTAAGCTCATACTTTAAGTAACTAAATAAAGCTGATGTGTTTAGTTTTAAGAATGGACTATTTCTACCCATTTCCAATAACCTCATATTTTCAAAGACATAGCTGTGTTATTTCGGAAACATGTGAGGTGCTCCCATGAATAGGTCACGTGTTCTTTTATCCTTTGCTAAAGGCATAAAACAGCTGGGATACAACTACAAGCACAATCAGAAGACACTAAATGATGATGATGATTTCAGTTAAGTGTTCATGACAGTTTCTCGCCATTGAATTCTTTTCATCTCCCCTCCCGCAAAGGGGTGCTCCCCCTCCCGAGACAGCACTAAGCTCCATAGAACGGGACATGAGGAAACACTTTTGGGCATTCCTGATGCACACTTCACATCCTCAGGGTGGATGGGAAAACAGGTGTCAGCAATCTAACTCATCCTGCAGGAAAGAAGCCAGACGGGCCTTCTAATGAGAAGCAGGCGGCTCACCGCCTCTTCATCACCGCGAGATTTACCCGGGAACTGTACAGTGTCCTACACATCACTCTTTGCAGGCTACAAAGCAGAGCCGGCTGACAGGTGCAAATGCCTGTGTGACGCACTCCTCACTTCTGCTAGGTGCTTCTTCCAGGGCTGAGCCCCAGTGGCAGGTGACACAACTGAGAAGTGCCGCGCCCATCTGTGTGAAACGGCTCTCTTAAGGCCCAGGGAGTAGCTCTATCTCCTCTCCAAACTGTTTTTTCCAGCCATGAAAAATGCCTGCAAATGGTAATGTTTTAATAGCCCTGGAAACCATTTGGGAACAACAACAACAACAACAACAACAACAAAATGTTTCCTTACCATACTTCTTGATCAGCGTATATTACACTGGACCTAAAGAATCTGCTGCCAGAACTGTTTGCTGAGAATGACATTAACTATGGTAACTAGGGCTGAATGTCAGGGTACATGCCTTTAATACCAATACTTACGAGGCAGAAGCAGGTAGATTTCTACGAGTTTGAGGCCAGCCTATTCTACATGGTGAGTTCCAGGCCAGCCACAGTTACATAGTCAGATACTGTCTCAGAAACAAACCAATCAATCAACCTAGGGTAAACAAGCGAAGATAGTGGCCATCTCCCCAACTACACACCATTAATCTTGACCCTTCTACTTCAAGCTTATGCAAATCCCCAAACCAAACCTTTTAGCATCTTACCCACAGGCACAGTAAACATTTTCACAGCTGCTAATTATCTGAAAAAAGACAAAGAGCAAAGAACGTGTGTGTGTGTGGGGGGGGGATTCAATGTCTCTGGTCTATGCACGCACCTGCACTCATGTGTTATACCTAGATACAGACAGACAGACAGATACAAACATAGACATAATGGGGAAAATCTTTTTAAAAAATCTCGTAAGAAGAAGAATCAGCCAGCTATGATGGCAGGGCTTGCAATTACACGGGGGGGGGGGGGGGGGAGCCCCCTGGGACTCATTGACCAGTCTAGCCTATTTGGCAAGCTCCATGCCAATAAGGGGCTGTCTCAAAAAACAAGGGGGTGCTAGCTGAAAGAAGATAGAAAAAGTCGTCTTCTTGCCTCCATAACTTATACAAGTGGATGGGCATGTGCTCATGTGAAGACATGCACACACAAACAAAAAGTAAATGCATCATGAAAAAACCAGAAGTGTTAATCTACCCATAGGAATTCTCTCTATATTCTCCTCCACGGATTTTTCAAGAACACACTATGACAGAATCTGGCTGTCACTCAATAGAAACATTCTGAAGTTCATTCATGTGGTGGTAGAAGGATCCTTTTGCATTTTTTTTCCCTTTTGCTGGTGTGATAAAATACTAGCCAAAAACAACTTGGGAAGGAAAGAGTTTATTTTATCTCATCATCTTACACTTCCAAGTGACAGTCCATCATCAAGGGAGGCCAAGGCAGGAATTCAGAGGCCAGAACTGAGGCAGAGAGGACGGTGGAACACGGCTTACTGGCTCCCTTGCTTCCTGGCTCATGTTCTTAACCAGCTCAGGACTGATTGCCCAGGGATGGTATGGCCCACAGTGAGCAGGGCTCTCCCACATCAGACATACCCACAGGCCAATCTGATAGAGACAATCCTTCAGTCGGGTTCCCCCTTTTCAGTTGTACCTAGCTTGTGCCAACTTGACAAAAACTCTAATCTTGCACACAAACTGATTAGCACACAGTTGAGCTGCATGCCAGCTACCCCGAAGTCCTTCCGCCACCACAAGAGGCAGACACGGTCTTCTCGATCATCACGCTGCTTTAAGTATGTTTTACTCTAAGAAATTCACATTTGCCAACCCCTCCAAACCCAATGATTATTTATTTTATTAAAAAAAAAACAAACTTAAACTGGGCAGATTAAAGGCCCTCACGATACAGCAGCCTCCTTTCTCTCTCCTAAGAAGTATTTAAATCTGTGTGCTCACCTGTGTACGTGTGAACCTGGGAGTGACGTACCAGAAACAATGACCAAGGAAGCTAATGATGCTCTCACACTTTCCCCTGTGGGCTAATTTGACGCTTGTTTTCACAAATTCAAAATCCTCCCTACTGAAAAAAAAATTGTTGATGTCCTGGATTATCAAAAACTATTATAATGGTAACTAATCAACATTAGGTTGCCATTATACAAGTATTTACGTGCAAGAAGCCACAAGCGTCAGCACTGCCTAAAACAAGGCATATCTTCCTAGCTGGTGAAACAAGAGCTCTATCATGATACATTCTTCACCACTGAACAGGTATGTAAAATCATCCTGCAATGGTTTCTCTACAGAGGATGACTTTTGTCAGGACAAATAAGAAAGTCCTTATGCTTCTAACGCCTAGAAGCTAAGTGGGATCACAAGTGAAGCCTGCAGAAACAGATTCCTCCTAGAAAACACACATCGCTCGTTCTGTCCGATCAGACGACTGCATCCATGAGCAGAATTTCAACTTTGATCTTTGCAGCAATCAGACTTTAGAAGGAAAGTGAGGAACATGTATCTACATTTAGATAAAAGAGAAAAAATACAGAAAAACTAAGTATTTTTAAATAATAAAGAAGGAATAAAAACTAAACAGAAGTTACTTTAGATAGATTTCAGAGTTTTATACAAAGCTTTCACTACATGAAGAAAAAGAAAATTCATATCCTGCTATAGAAATGATTTCTTCCTTGCTCAAATATCCAGAAAGATCACACTGAAGATGAATGTTAAACAAAGAAAAGTGTGTATTTCACTGATTTTATTACCTTTCAATACAACTGACTGAAGACTCAGTTCTGGTCAGTTTCATTCTTTCATTAAGAATGGCTCACCCTATACATTATGTACCTTTAAGCTTAACATAAAAAAATGAGATTAACTCATTTATTTTCTCCTCTATAAGAAGTTGAAAATTATCCACTCATTTTTCAAATATACATTTATTTTTAAAGAGTAGCACCATCATAGCCATGCTGAATAGCCATAGAAAAGTTCTCCATTGGATGAGTGAAGGGTATCTTACTGATTACACTGCAAGGCAAAGCTTTCAGATAGCTATGTCAGCAAATGACAAGACCAAAATGAAATGACAAATAACTTAGGCTAAGAAGATTAACACAAGGGAGAATTGTAAAATGCTTATAAATGAGAAATTTTAATAAAACACTTTCAAAAAGATCAAAACCTTATTACAAGGGAGATATATGAAGACAAACTTGGATCAGCCCTTAACATATCTTTATGCAGTTGGGCAAATGATTTGTTTCCTCTGCTTTATGTGCAGAAGAGCAGGTGCTATGCACTAAACTGTGTCCTTGCGCGTGATCTACTACAGCCCTCCCCCGAAGGGTAGGGTTTTTGGAGACAAAGCCTTCGGTAGGTTTAAACGAGGTCATGACTGTGAACCTTCACGATGGGATTAGGACCCTTGAAAGAAGAACATCAGAGAACCAGCCCCACTATAGTCTCT